GGGAGAAGTGAGGGAGGAGAGGAGAGGAGAGGGGAAAAGGAGAAGGGAGAAGAGAAGGGAGGAGAGAAAAGAGAACTGGGAGGGGGAAAAAGGGGGAGGAGAGGGGAGGAGACTAAAGTGGGGGGATCTCTCTGTATGGTTTTAAGGCTTACGAAAGCCCAGGAGCTTGCAGACAGGCAGAAAACACTGGAAGAAAAATAGCAGTCTTCAGGAATCAAGGCAGCCATTCATTCTCTTCTTCATTTTCTTGTGAGGTTGAATTTTCATCCTTTATTCTCTGTCAATTTAGATTCTAACTATTCTTTTACTTATTTACATTAAAAAATAAGACTTCCTCTCATCTTGAAGGAGAAAATCAATGTATGAACCATAATCAAATTTTGAAAATGCTGAAACACTGGATCCTTTACTATTGAAAAATGAAAGAGTTTAAGAAATGGGCAGAGGTAAGAACATCTATTGAGTTCTTACCACAAACCAGGCAAAGTAGATGCTTACTATTTAACCTTCACAAACCAGGCAAAGTAGATGCTTACTATTTAACCTTCACAACAATCCTATGCGGTTCTATTGTTACCCTCTTCCTATGGATGATTAAAATTAGATTTTAAGGCAACTATCCAGTATCACACATCTACTATGTACCTCAACATGAACTTAGCTGCAAGAAGTTAGAAGGTAGAAGATGATGTGGAGAAGGGCTGAAGGAAATAGTCCTTTTTCTAACCCATTTTTTTTTTTTTTTGAGTCTCACTTTGTCACCTTTGGTAGAGTGCTATGGTGTCAGCTCATAGCAACCTCAAATTCTTTGGCTCAAGCGATTCTCTTGTCTCAGCCTCCCAAATAGCTGGGACTTCAAGAGCACGCTGAAATGCCCAGCTATTTTTAGAAACAGGGTCTTGCTCTTGCTCAGGCTGGTCTCAAAACCTGTGAGCTCAGGACAATCCATCCACCTTGGCCTCCCAAAGTGCTAGGATTACACACGAGCCACTGTGCCTGGCTCTTTTTTAACACCAAAAAATGTTACTTTAAACATACATAAAGGAAATGGTATGATGCTACATGACAGCATACCATGACGCTTTTAAATACCTATTTTAAAAAGACATTGTCCAGGTGTGGTGGCTCACACCTGTAATCCTATCATTTTGGGAGGCCAAGGTGGGAGGATGGCTTCACGCCCAGAGTTTGAGACCAGTGTAGGCAACACAGATGCCCCCCCGCCCCCAAATAAGAACATTTTTTTAAAATTAGCTAGGCATGATGATCTGTGCCTCTAGACCCAGTTACTCAGGAGGCAAAGGTGATCACTCGAGGAAAGGAGTTCAAGTCTGCAGTGAGCTAATGACTGCACCACTGCACTCTAGCTGGGGGTACAGAATAAAACCCTGCCTAAAAATATATGATATATTCACATCATAAAGGAAACCTTATTTTATAACATTAAATGGAAGTCACAGGAAAAAACAGATTTTAAAAGAAAATAATTTAAACAATGGTTATCTGGTTATCTCTGGGCAGCTCAGACATCATTTTAAATCTTCTATGATCTTATTTTCTCAATATTTATCAATACTGGTTGTCACAAAGAATCTTTTCCTCAATCCTGACTCAAACATTCATCTCCCCCTTTCTCTTCACCACCAAATTAGACTGTTCTATCTTTCCTGCCTCTTTTCGTGTGCCCTCCATTGACCAGTACGACTTTTACCTAAACCAGCAGTTCTCAACCTGTGGGTCACGACCCACAGGAACTGTATTAAAGGGCCGCAACATTAGGAAGGTTGAGAACCACTGGCCTAAACTCTCTTGAACTGCTCACAATAGTATTGCCAAAAAGCCTTCTCTGTCCGTTCAACTTAACCTCTTTGATAGGTATTCTTCTTCCACTGTTCTTTTCCCAAGGTTCAGTCTTTAGCTCAGATTCCCATAGTCTGAGCTGTCACTCATTTGCTGGGCAAAAAAGGCGTGTAATATAAGATTAGAAATCACTGATAGAAATTAAATTCTCAACTCCTTGGCAATTTAACATCCCCCTTGGAAAACTTTTCCCTTTCACCCTCCTAAATTCCCCATACAGCATTCGCCCTCTTCTAGGTTTCTATAGCTCTTTGTATCTGCCACTAGTACATATTTGCCACATTATATTTGATTATAAGCCAGTCTGTCTCAGGGGGCAATTAATGTATTTTTGTTTCCAACACTAAATAAATGACTTCACTAAAATGCCAAATTTATTCCCAAAGTATTAATCAACGTATGAATCTTGTGGTCCTTGTCAAGACAAAACAGTGCTCATTCATGGCAGCAAGTTTTAAACATACTCTTTAGTGAAACAAGCAATTAAAAACTTACCAACATTAAATTCTTATCAATTTCATATAATTAAAACTGAAAACCAAATTATTTACTAGTATAGGTTGCTAAGCATGACTAACATGTCAGCTTATGTATTTTAAAACCAAGCTGTATTCCATAATCATTTAATCTCAAACTTCAAACACTACTGAATAAAAATCTTTTAGTAAGGCAAAAATTTTGGGATCCTGAGTAGGCAGTACAAGGTTTTACTATAGCCTAGGACAGCAGTTCTCAATCTATGGGTTATGACCCAGAGGAACTGTATTAAAGGGCCATGGCATTAGGAAGGTTGAGAACCACTGGCCTAGGATGATATTTCTCCATTTTTAGTTATTCTAACACAGATTTATCAAAGCCACTTGAGGAGCTGTTTCAGAACATACATATACTCCATACCCAGAGATCTTCAGTTGGTCTGTGATGAGACCAGGCCTATGGACTTTTAGTTCCCCAGCATTTTTTGATGAACAATACTAGTTAATAACTATTTTGTATGAAATATATTTGACATGCTTTCAACTTAACTATGCATATACATCTATCTCAAGCATTTTTATTACTTTGAAAAATCTAAGTTATTTATGGGCACCTGACTTTTGCCAATAGGCGTAGCTCCTTTAAAGGCTTATATGCTTTTTCGTTGCGTCATTAAGTCTCCATCTACAAAAAAGGAGATGCTTTTATGTAATATTTTCTTTAATTTGAGGTGTACAGACAAGCCAGTCCACTAGATGAGTCTGTTACAATATGAATTATTTGTATCTAAATATGCTGAATATACACTGACTCTAGCCTTTACAAAAATTAACTGACAAACCACCTTAAAGTGTACTTACACTGAGAAAGATTATATTCATATATAATAGATTTCTTAACTAGAAGATATTTTCAGAGTAAATATTCAAATATTGTTTCCAGAGTAGATTGAACATGTTAAATGTAAAAATGGAAATATTTAAAATCACCTATACTGAGATTCAAAAAATCTAAGAACTTATTTAAATTGTCTTCAAGACTACTTTCTTCATTGCACTCGTTCTCTTAAGAACTGATAAGATACACGTGCGAGCTTATGGATCAAAAAAGCTCTAAAAGCTTATGTAAAAATTCAAGATTACTTAAAAACATCTCTACTATCCCTCTAAAATGGCTTACTCTCCTGACTTAATGGGCATTGTGCTCAAGTGAGTAACCTTCTCACCTAATTCTTTTCATACATTCTTGAAGAATAAAAAATTGTACCAATTTTCTAAAGGAGTTTTAAGATTCAAAATCTAATCCTTAGAACTTTAAAATGGTCGTAAATTCTATCAATTCATTCTATAATTCCAAGTGGTATTTCCCACTTTACATCAAAAGCTTAAGTTTCACAATCAGAAAAATGCCCATTTAGACATGTGTTTATATTTATCCAATATATTCAAAGATATAACAATGTCAGATTAAGCTTGAAAAATAGATAAAGGAAATATTTACCCCCACTGTAATGCATGTGAAAAGGAATTTGATTTCTACTTTGAATTATCTAATACAGTAGTATTCTTAATGTTCTATTTCTTTTCTTTCCTTCTAGCCCACCTTTATCATAATTAGACACACAAACTCAAAACGTGACTTTTATTAACACCTGACACAGTTACCAAAATTTGCTTTATGTTATTATTTTCTAGACTCTTTATGTAAACTCAGGTCTTTGATAAATCAAAATACCCTGTATTGCTTTCAAAGGTGAAACAAAAACAAAGTTTTGCAAAATGGCATTGATAAAATTGGGATGAATCAATGTGGGCTAAGATTTTTTCAAAAATCGTATTTAATATTATATTTATTATTAAAATTAAAAGCTCATTCTTAGGCAAAGAAGTAGTAAACTGCCAGTGACTCTATACATCTCTTTTAAAATAAATATACCTGTTTACATTTTAATATCTGAAATCAAGGTTCTGAAAATAAAAGGCTAAGGTGAAGAAAGATAAAACACATAGATATTTTATCCCATACCACTGCAATATTTTAAATGCACAGGAATACAACAAACTCAAAAGGAAAAAAAATAGTGTTTTATTAACTACCACACTGTTATAATACACTTTAAACGTACAATAAGGTAGCCTTTAAATTTGAGGTGGTCTTAAGAATAATAAATGAACAGAATTCCAAATTTTTGCAATAGGTGAACTGCTGCAGTTATAGGTATACATTTATGAAAATTGTATAGCTCTTACAAGACCAGCAATGTAACTTTATTTTGTACATTTCTTTAAATTGAAAATATAAACATTAATTAAAAAATAAAAAGAAAATACAGCATAATAAAAAACATACATTTCTCAATTAAATGTACTGGATACATATAAATTTTAAGGGAAGAAGCAAGAAAGTAAAATGATTGATATTTAAGTGCAGACTGACTACCTAGACCAAAAAAAAAAAAAAAAAAAAAAAAAAAGACTTAAAAAAATATCATAAAACCTCTAGTTTTCTATGACTAATATCCATATGGTTGGAGTATCGTCACTATGGAAGTGATTTTGTTGTTTGCATATGTTATACTTTACTGGTAATTTACATGATGGCTTTTAAGGCCCTGGCAGACATGGTTTTTGGAAACAAGATTGGATAAAAATCACTGCTAAGACGCAATACAGCTTATTTTTTTGGTCCTCCAATAATCAAAAAAAAGGGGTAATTCACTATAACATTTTCTTACCACCCAAATGCCTCAACCTATACATTTTAAACTTTTTTAAACATTGGTTATATTGCCCAACTTCATTATTGAAAGAATATTAACAAGACATTATTTTGGCAAATTAAATCTTAAACATGGCTTTTCAACAGGATTTAAAAGGTGACTATCCCTAGAGTTCCATGTTAAAATGTAGTTTTCAAAATCTTACAAGAGTAATGCTTAAAATATTGTACATAGTTAACCTAATTAAAATAATTAGCTTCAAAATGACAAATTGATAAGCTAAGTAAAGCCTACACTATGTAACATTTGCTTGGAAACTTGATTTGTCAGTTATGCATAATAAAAATTCCAGTCATCAAGAAAATTACAAAAATTTTTTTTTATCATAACATGATTTCTTTCACCCACCAACTTTTTTATCTTACAATAGATAAATACCAACATGTTCTCATTTTTACACTAAACCACACAGGATTGATGCATTTGGTTAGACTACCATTCGCATTGTTAAATTCAATTTTCTCTTATATAACTTGGTAAAATTTCATTTCTTCTAGATTCCAAAAGTACCTACAAAACCATGCAATTTTACCATTTTTTAATATACTATGGAATATCATACAAAGTAAGGCATTTCAGTGTCATGTATAACCAAGTTACTGTCAATCCAAAAATTTTTGCACATCAATAAAAAGATATCTAAGAACTTAGGAACAATATTCTTCTCACTACTGTATAAAAATAACCACAATGAATAAGTATTTTGTGTAATATTTACTCCATTGTCTCATTTCCAGAAACTGTGACAAGCTGTAAAGGTATTTCAGTGTTGGTAAGGATATCTTGATTGCTGGTGGCGGAAGTATTAACAGTTCCTATCCCTGAAACAGAACCTTGTTGAATATTTGCAAGGATAAGTGTTGTTCCTCCTGCAGTAATCAAAGTATCATCTCGCGCAGCTTCCACAGATGCCAGCACTGCACTGCTAGAATGAATACCTTTTTTATTCTGATGTGTTTTAATATGTTTGGCAAGGTGGTCACTTCTCATAAAGCGTTTTGAACATTCTGGACAAACAAATTTCTTCTCACCTGTTAAGAAAAAAATTAATTCACTTACTGTTTCAAATTCAACTCTAATGGATCAATCATATCCCCCCAAACAGAAAGTAAGCCAACACTGAAGCCTGAGGATAAATAGCAAGAGTCTATTTAAAAAAATAGTTCTATGAACTGCCCCTGCAAGATTTTTTCTTATCCAATATTTCTGCTCAAAATACATGTCATCTTTACTTTTTGATAAAAAGCAATTTTCAAACATGTATTACAGGACAGACTGATATTCAAGTAAGACTTTAACACCTCAACTATGCCAAGAGTTTGTTTTAAAACACCCATGTTAAGACACCAGCTAAAAAATGATCATCTGTTAAACACTGCTTTAAAACCTAAATAAAAGTATTTCCTTTCAAGCTATAATTAATTAATATGTCATGTCCAGGATATTAAACTTTTAACTCTTAAATATGAATTCAAGTAATAACAGTAAACACACCAGTTTCAGATTCACTAAGGGTGAGCAATCCCAAGAAGCATAATAAAGATAGTTGAATTTCAGCTGGAATAATCAAGAGCCAGTGTAATATATGAAGATGTTGAAGCTTTAAAGACCCTAATGCCTAAATCTTCTTTGCCGGCATGAATAAAACACTTTTATATACAAAAACCAGAAGAACTTCTATCATGTTGAAGACCCGCTACTATGCAAGAGGATTACTGGAAGAGAAGATAAAAGGCCTACCTAAAAGGAATTCAGAGAGAAATCAATCAATAAATCTAGTTAATATTTTCTTAGTTTTTTCCTTCAAACACGTCTTACCCTATCTCTTATTCCAGCACCCCTACTACTGTAGGTTGGTCCTCATCACATCTCATGTGGGACCATATGGCAAATGACATCCCAGTCTCATCGTCTCATTCCAACAAATCGATGTCAGATACTTCTTCCTTGAATACCATATTTTATCACTGTACAAAACCTTACTATTGTACTAAGTGATCAGAAAATGCATAGGTAACCTGCAGGTAACTGAACAGTTTAGATGCTCTACTACCTAATTTACAAGGACTTCTATAAAGTGCCTCAATTCTACTTAACAGAAATGTGTTACATAAAATCTCACCCATCGGCT